GCAAGAAGTCGGTGATGAGAGCTCCTAGGTTGTTTTTGGGTATCGGGAAGCCCAACAACGCGCCAAGAGTCGGTGCCAAATCCGATTGCTCTATAGTTGAATAATACTCAAAATCCTCAGTATAGTTTTGAGGGGATTGATATCTGCTTTGGAGACTTTTCATTTTCGGCGACACGAATACAAGCGCAGGGGAGGTCTCGCCTGCTGATGAACCGCCATGATTACCAGCATCGTTCATACCGTGGTCGCCGCAGAGTACCAAGAGCGTTGACTGCAAGTGCGAGTAAGTCTCCATGGCGCCGTAGAGCTCCCTGACTATGCCGTCCATCTCATGTTGTTTCGGTAACATATTTGAACTACGACCAAGTCAGCTAACGAGCAGAATTGATGTTTCGTGGCTTGGGAGTATTTGCCTTCGAGGGCCACCTTTGTGGCCGATATGGTCAAGTCCCAGGTAGTGCAGAACCATGGTGCTCCAGTCGTTGTTCTTGAGCTCGTCCGCGATATGCCTCGTCACATTATTGTCTACCTCTGTAAAGTCCTGGACCATATTAGCTCGCGCCCGCGCCACAAGTCAACTGTCAACCGTACGCACCGCTACGAAGAAGCTAGACGTCCCGTCTGCTCGGTCGAATGTACCAGGGAATAATTTGAGCCATGTATCGTCGCCATACATGACAAGTTTCCCCGTATTCTTGGCCTTCATCTGAGCCAACCAGGTATCCTGGGACGCCAACGAGGACGACTCGTCTCCCTCATCTATATTGAGGATCACGTCGAGGAATGAGGGTATAGATCCAGTTGTTATGGCCTTGAGTCTAGGCATCGTGACAGTTGGGGACGTCGCATGCGCTGTGAAAGGAATCGCGGAGCCATCACGGATGAGCCTGCAAACGTGGATAAGTCTTGGGAGCAATGAGATCGATCAGGGACGCCTACGATTGAGTAAATTCGAACCCGGAATTGGTGGAGTAGACAAAGTCACTAGAATCACGGACATATTAGGGCACGCATCTCATTTGACAGATCTGCTGAGGTGTACCTTCTCAATGCATCCACGACCATGAAGATCAACCTGTCGAACGGCGCGGCCGGAGGAAGACCATACTGAGAATCCCCATACTGCGCCAAACCTGGGAGCAGTGGCTTGTAGGGAAAGAAGCCTGTAGCAAACGTAAATATTGCGACGGGTATCAAGAGATTGGCTACCACGAGGAGTAACGTCGCGAGGGTGCGCTTTGAAGCATTTTGATGAGCCTGCATATCCGGTAGGCCTGGACGCGCTGCGGCAAAGAACGAAGAAGATGTGCGCGTTATCTACAATCCAAGAATCGATCCATGACAGACAATGAGTTATCACCTAGAATCAATCGCAGGTATACCTTAATGTTGAGAAAGTGTTGCTAAGACTGCCCATACAGGTGCCAGAAGCAAATGCAAGCTGTGCGCGCTCTGCAGCGACGTGGAGCTCAAGCGACAGGCAGGTAGCTCCAGGCAGCTCAGCCTTGCAGCCACAGTGCCTGCTTAGCGGAGACGCGATTGGAGAGCAGCACCGACAGTGGGGGAAGACCCCTGCAGAAGAACACCACCATAAATTTTTCTCAACCATTTGTTCAGCCTTGTCGTTATCTATCGTGAGATGATCTGTACTCAAGCAATGCCCCAGATCCGAGGGTCAGAAACCAAATGAACGCCAGATACTAGTAACTAATGATAGTTGTGCGCGGACTTCTCACTTTCTCTTCTTCATAGACTTCCTGTCCTTGTACTTCGGGAAAACAATGCTTGACTTCTTGCTCCGCCTCTTCTGGATCTTGTTCGCTCCCCTGCTCTTGGTCGGCGCCTTGGACTTGGAGTCTATCTCCATAGCTAGATCGCCAGTTTGTCAGTGCCCTTGTAACATGAAGGATGGAGAACCGACGGCATACCCTCGTCATCCTTCTCGATGTTGACATCAGCAGCTTGCGCCTTGTCCTCTATCTGGGCTGCTGGCTATTAGCAATGGGGGGATTCGACGCAGTCTTGCGGCACAAACCGTCAGCATCCTCCATCTCGGTCTCTGGGACATTCTGGGGCTTCGGTTGTGCAGCCAGCTCCAAGAGCTTGGCAGCAAGTCGCTCTGTTCTCGCCGACTCGATTGGTCCGAAGACATTCTTCTTGAGCCGCTGGTTGTTGTTTTTCCTCGAGCTGGATCTTGCGCTCTTGGCCATCTTGGTTATCAGTCGGTGGACAGGTCAGTCTAGGCAATATATATTCTTATTGCGCAGGATAAGTATGTATAGCGACAGGCTTGGGTTGAGACTTGTGGCCGGGTTGTGTGTTTCTTTTCGCATAAAGAGTGCTGGAAAATGTTCCCCGCCACTGGCTTTCGCAGATGCATATCGGGCGCAGGGGAGGCCTGGCTGGTTACAGGCAGCGGGCGAGTCAAGGCACTCTACCGTATCTAGGTACTGTAAGCCCCCGCTAAGGCTTAGCGGATAGCTTAATTACGTAGGTACAGTAGCTTTTTTACCACCAGGACGGCAGTGACACTGATATGATAAAATTCTGCCGTGATTGGCCGCCCTCAGCACTTCATCTGGCGCCGGCGGCGGGTTTGCCGACGACGACTACGTCCTGCAAACTCGCAATAGGGCTGTGATACAGACCCCCGGGCAGCCTGGCCGAGCCTGTGCTAATACACCATTCTCGCCATCAGCTTGTGCACTTCGCTTGCGGTGGGCTCGATAACCGGAGTCATATCAATCTGGGCCAGGGCTCTGAGGCTGCAGTGACTTTTCAGTGACCGGAGCCGCCCCTGCCTAACCGTACCTACCTACTTAGAGGTTCTGACTTCTCCCCCCGGGCAAGGCAAGCACGCATCTCGGTGGGACGCTCCTCCCTCTTCATGAGGCTGCGGCCTCACAGTCTTGCATCGTGCTCCTGCCCTTTCTGGTCAGAAAAATATGGCTACCTCGTCCCTCGGGATTCCTAGAGGCGAGGTTCAGTCTCTGGTCAAGCTTGTCACCAGCAATGCCTTGCTCAATCGCCAGCTCTCCACCATCTGTCAGGTCAACGGCCTTAGAAGCACTGGCGTCAAGGCAGAGCTTCAGAAGCGCATCGTCACCTGTAAGTAGAACTCGATCTCTTTCCTGAATATACTTTGTTCCACGGGTTCGCCAGGGATTGTTGCATCTCTTCCTTCTGCTCTGCCCTTCCTTTCGTCACTATGGAACCTTGATTTTCCGCCACAGCTTCTAACAAGATATCTCGCGCAGTAATCAACGAAACCGCAGAAAGAGGCGATGTGAGCCAATTCCGGGATATCAAGCGGAGCATCGACATATTCAAGACAGGCAGCAGCACCTCGTCATCGGGCTCTCAACCCAATTACTACGGCACCTCAAGCTCCGCCACGCACACCTCGCAAACCTCTCACACAATGACAAACTACAACTACTCGAACGGACATGGCTATGGAGGTGTCGGTGGTCAACGGTCCCAAACGTTGTCTCACCAGGGTAAGCATATCTTGGGCCTCCATCCGGCCGTGCGCTAACCAGTCTAGCCTTCTACTTCAAGCAAAGTCCATTCTATGAGATCCGCAGCCGGATAGGTGATATTAAGACATGCGAGGGTAAACACTACAGGAATCCTTTGGACCACCTAAGCTGACCTCTTGCAGTTATGACCCAGCATCGTAATTCTGTCACTGTGACTATCAAAGCTTCGGATCATCCTAGCCTCTCGCTGTGTCTCACAGACCCGTCAATGAGGGTGATGGTGTTCTGTGCTGCTGCCAATACCGGTCTGCAAGACATCGCATTCCCTCACCAGGCCGAGCTCAAGGTGAACGGCGGCGAGATCAAGGCAAATCTACGCGGCCTAAAGAACAAGCCCGGTTCCACACGACCGGTTGATATAACGGACCAATTGCGGCTTAAGCTACCGCACTATGCGAATTCTGTAGAATTCACTTACGCTTTGACCAACAAGGCAGGTGCCAATGGCCCTCGAAACAATAAGAATCAAGTCAGGGAAACCATCAAACAGTGCCCAGGGCGGGGTTCTTATTTCACTCAATTTTATCGGGAGCAGGGTGACTGACTTGTTTCTGATTTCTAGAAATTCTACCTTGTCCTAAACATCTGCAAAACTGTTGCTGTGGACACTCTCGTCGCCAATATCTCAAGGGGGAAGAGGATACCGAAAGCCTCCGTTATCCTCGAGAGTAAGCATCAGTGGAGACACGTTCTCCCAATCAATCGCTAATACTTGAACAGTCGCCAAAAAGGCCAAGGATTCTGATATTGTCATGTCTTCCCAGGTCGTGTCACTGAAATGTCCTCTTTCATATATGAGACTGAGCTTGCCCTGCCGTTCCACCAACTGCAGCCATATTCAGTGCTTCGATGCCACTTCGTACCTGCAGTTACAGGAGCAAGGTCCGCAATGGCTCTGTCCAATCTGCAACAAGGCTGCACCTTTTGATCAGCTGGCTGTTGATGAGTGAGTTTCAAGTTCGCATTGTTGTGAATAGTCACTAATCTTGAAGCAAGGTATGTCAAGGACATACTGGCAAAGACGTCTCGCTCCGTTGAGCAAGTCGACATTGAACCTAGTGGAGAGTGGAAAGCCCACGGTGTCGAGGAGGAGGTAAAACCTGAACCGAATATCACACCGTTCGCGGTCGATGATGATGATCTGGTTATCTCGGAAGTCAGTTTCATTGGCGGTGATCGTAGCACTACAACTCCCAACCGGTCGGCCCCTTTTATAGGCACACCTACTACGGCTGCCTCCCGAGAATCCTCGACATTGCCAAGATCAGGATCGAAGAGCAACAAGCGGCCAATTTCACAGGTCATCGACCTGACACTCTCCGATGATGATGAACCTGCGCAACCACCCCCGAAGAGGCAACATTACAGCACAAACGGCTTTGGCTCCAGTTTGTCGCCTTATTAGGTGTTGGATTGACATGGATCTTGATCGAATGTGGGTTAGGATAACAGTCTCAGTCGATGTTATAGTCTATTTTTCTCCTTGTACATGATGCATAGGTCGGATTGGTTGTCATTACGGATGTGACAAAACCCGGCAGGGCACTTTTGCATGGCGTTGGTGGACTAGACTCAGTTGACCCTTTTGAGGTCCTCGGTTGCTTTTGACGTTTACTAAGATAGGGAAGAGGGAAAATTGGTTGGCTTCTCAAAACTCTGGTATAAAACTTGCCGATGGATTTTAGATACTGCTCGGAAATCGAGGCCGAATCTATGTCTCTTCGCAATCTTGGTGAATGTAGCCATAAGATGTGGTGTATCGTCGCGGCTCAAGGTGTATTAAGTGTTATTTTCTCGCTAAACGTAACAAAGACCCCAGAAGAGTGGTCCGGCAGGCACCACCGCCCTGGAGCTTACCTTATGAGCTTCAACTTCCAGACAGCTACCGTCTCTACTGAACCAAAACCAGCCAGGAATTGCACGCTTGTCATATTTGTTAGATGGCTCCCAGACGGACCTTGCTCTGGTGAATTGATCTCGTGCCAATCCTTCGCTCAATGTGACGAAACACACGAAGTTCGCCAGCACATTTACCACACATTGCCCAAGATGTCGTTCGAGAGCGTTATGCCCCCGTACAACGCCTCGGATCCGCACGCCACCTTCCTGAGCTCGTCATGTCTCGACTTCCTCCTCATAGAGCTGGTGCCCATGGCGTACCGCATCACGAACGAGCTCGAGGCCGCCGCGGCCGCCGACCAGCTGCTCCCAGCGATCGCCGCACACGAGAAGGACACGACAGCTGCTGCGGCAGCATCGCAGAACGGGACCGCAGCGGCCTCCGCCACGGGGACGTCGGGGGCCGGGCCGGCGGGCTCGCGCAGGATGGACGAGGACGAGGAGCGCGACGCCGTCTTCTTTCGGCTCGAGACGCTGGGGTACCGCGTGGGCCAGGGCCTGGTGGAGCGCTTCTCGCGGGACCGGCCGCACTTCAACGACACGCTCGACGTGATCAAGTTCCTGTGCAAGGACCTCTGGACGCTGGTGTTTAGGAAACAGGTGGACAACCTCAAGACGAACCACAGGGTATGTGTTGTTGGCAGCTGGGGATCCCGCTATGCTCCGACTAGGAGACTGACGATTTTATGTTACTGCACATAGGGAGTCTACGTCTTGACGGACAATGCATTCAGGCCATTCTCGCGGATGAGCACCGAGGCTGGAGGGCAGGCGGTCGTGAGGGCACAGCCGGTATGTGACCAACTACCCAACGCGTTCTTCAAAGCTAACACAATGGCATACAGTTCCTATGGTTTCCTTGCGGCATAGTACGGGGAGCTCTGGCCGCCATGGGCATTAATGCAACAGTTCAAGCCGAGACAAGCGAGCTGCCCAGTGCTGTCTTCCAGATAAAAACAATACCTTCGAGTTAGTCATATGGAAGGCGTCTGCAGTGGGGGCGATGGACTTGGAACTCCAAGCTCTCGCTTTTTACAAACATGCATCAAGGCGAAAGACGATACGAGACCGTTAGAGGATTCACATGGCGGCGAACGGCGTTTATATGGCTGGGCTTTGCATATTGTCTATTATACCCTGCGTTATTTGATATATTCATCTTGAACATGCGGACCGTCGAAACCCTGGCACCATGCATAATCCATCCTCTTGGTCTTTCTGGTGTTCATCTAGAGCTCCAGCAAACAAAATAAAACCCCGAGCCCATCAATTATAGTAGGGCATTAGATGCTATATGTCAACGAGACGACATTTCACAGCCTAGAGAAAGAGAAAAGCAACAATCAGCCACTGTGCTTCATCGGTCTTTTTATATTTTTGTTACTCTATGGACCATGCTGCTATCCTCGCCAAGCGCAAGCCACGTTTCCAGTCGTGCATCTTGAAGGAAAGAGGAGGTACCTGGTGACGTATCTCTCTAAAGAAAAGAGGGGGAAATCACTTTTGAGGGGGGTTGTGGGCAAAGGTAATGCCCTTCTCGATGTTGCCCTTGAGTCCCTTGACGGCAGCGTCCAGCAAGGTCTTCTCCTTGTCCGTGATATCGCCGAGGATGTTGATCGCCTTCTCGGCACCGTTGGGCTGTCACATTGGTCAGTAAGATGGACGATCTGGGGTACATGGGGGGCACGCACGCCAAGCTCAATTGGGACGGAGAAGAACTCGCAGCCAGTCTTCTCGGCAATCTCCTTGCCGCCTGGGACACCAGGCAGGTAGACGTAGCTGGGCTCGACAAGGCCCTTTGCGCCCTTGATAGCCTTGAGCAGCTTCTCGGCGAACCTTCGGCATGTCAGCAGGGAAACTCTCGGGTACATGGGGACGACAAGACTGACCGGTAGCCAGCGTAGGCCATAGACAAGGTAGCAGAACCAGCGCCATCCTTGGCCTTTACAACCTCGTCACCACCGAATTGCACGCGGTTGACAAGAGCATCGTACTTGTCATCGGGGATGGTGACGCTAGGCTTAACCTGGCTGAAGAGGGGCACAATGGTCTCGCCAGAGTGACCGCCAATAACGGGGACGGTAAGCTCCTGAGGGTTGGCCTTGCCGGCGATCTCGGCGACGAAGGTCTCAGCTCGGACAATGTCCAGAGTCGTAACGCCAAAGAGGCGCTGGGGGTTGAAGACACCCTTGGCCTTCAGCACCTCCGCAGAGATGGGGACGGTGGAGTTGACGGGGTTGGAGATGACGAGAATGTACGCCTTGGGAGCGACTTCGGCAGCAATCTCGATGAGACCCTTCACGATGCCAGCGTTGATGTTGAAGAGATCGTCGCGGGTCATGCCCGGCTTGCCTGTGTAGCGCAATTAGCCATCCTCTCAAGTCTCGCAATGGCTCATCAGTAAACTTACGGGGAATACCGGCAGGGATGACGATGAGGTCTGCGTCCTTGAAGGCGGCCTTGCCTCCGTCATTGGGTGGTAGGTAGCCTGCGACTTTCTTCATGTTTTCCAGTTAGCTTTTGGAAGTATCATATCTAGTCTCAGGGGCACCAACAGCGTTTGAGGAGATGTGGGAAAGGTCGGCGGCAACACCGGGTGTGTTGACGACATCGTAGAGAGAGAGCTCGTCGACAAGAGGGCACAGCTTCAGCAGAAGGGATAGGGGCTGTCACACGCAGAGTTAGCTCTACAGCTCGAATATAGCAGAGCTCGCTTGAGAACAAACCTGTCCAATGCCTCCAGAGGCACCCGCAACAACTGATTCCACATTAGATTCACAGATTCTTCATATTCAAAGCGCTTGGGGCTCTCTGTCCATACCGGCCTTGACCATCTTGACGCGCGTAGAGCTTGTGACGTGGGGA